AGGCCGATTGAAATGCAAATTCTGGGTACACTGAACCCTCAAGTGGCCCTAATCTCAGTCACTGGTATTACTGAAATTCTTGTAATTGCGATTATCTTATCAGATAACGAGAAGAGACACGTAATTCGTTGATGCGGTAAACAATTTCGAGGAGAATTTTGTGAGAATCGTCTAACCAGTTTGAAATAATTTGTTGCAGATACCTCAAGACGGTAACGGGCGATCCAGCATGCATTTGGAGCCTCCGTTACGGGCGGAGTTCAAGATGCGGTAGAGGAAGTCCCTCGAGAATCTACGGAACAGTTCTAAGCACCCATTCGTGATACATAGAATACAAAGCATAAGCACTCGCATAATAGCAATTATAGCACCCCCTCGAGGAGACTCGTTCATATCCAATAGAAACGAATAGCTTGCTCAAACTAGAGCATCCGAAAGCTCACTGGTCGACGCTCAGGAGGAACCTGGCGCCCCTGACCGACGGACACCACTGCCTTCCAAGACTTGCTTCGGGTCGCGAACAGACCACGAACCAACCGGCCGACGACTACCACCCATCGCGCTTAACAGGGAGACCCGTTTCGGAAGCCCGGCTTCGCCCGAACTCGCGGAAGGGACTTTTAAGCGGCGAGTGAACCACAAAGGAGCGAGCAGCGAGAGGAGCCGTCACGGTGGCCAGCTTAGTGAGCGGCAACGTAGCGGTGCGTTACGATGAGGCGTCGGGAGTGGTTGGCACGGGGGGTGTCGTGTTGGCAGCCACTTCCAGGTTAGCCGCTGCGGATCCGGCCACGTCCAGCATGGACACCAGCGACTCCAGCATGGACACGACTAACGGGGTACCGGGCGCCGGGGTGGGCGCGATAGTGTCCGGCGCGGCGTCCTTGACGCTGGTCAAGGCCGAGACGCCCGAACTACTCGCGGGCACGTCGGCGACGCCCGGGTCGGTCACCGGGCCGATAGCCGGTGCAACCGCGGGCCTCTTCGCCGGTATAACCGGCAGTAAAACCGGTCGGCCGGACGACTGGCTGTCGACGAACAGCCCCGGCTCGCCGTCCGCCACCCTACAGGCGCAGCACGTGGTGTTCGCCAATGCCCAACAGCTGACGGACTCCCAGCAGCAGCAGCCCCCGTTGGCGCACTCCAGCCCCCTCGCCCATCAGCAGCAGCCCGGCAGCAACAACGGATACGCCAGCCCCATGAGCACCAGCAGCTACGATCCTTACAGTCCCAACAGTAAAATAGGTGAGCTGCAATCCGTTATAA